TACGCAATGCCATGTAAATTCGTTCCGACGCAAAAATATCTCATTTAGCTCAAATCGGGAAGCGTTTTATTTATTCGTGAATAGAATATCTGTTTGTACGTCGGACATTTTTTTGCGAGTTATTAGAGAATGTATGGTAATGCTATTTGTTATGTGTGGGTGATTCTTTGTTGAACTTTGCTCGCGCGTTCCATCACGTTTCCGCAACTACGAGAAATAAAATCGTTCAACGCGAGACTAGAAGGGCTTAATTCGAACTCCGGTCATGGAAAGCATTAAAATTGAATTTGGTAGAATGGTAGTAGTTGGACGCAATTAATGTAACCCGCTGATGCAGCAAGCATCCCATGAGTCGTGCGTTTCACATCGACCGCAAACTCTGTAGTGAATTCAGAATCGATTTTTCCTTAGTAGAAATTCTATGTCCAAGTCTTTCTTCAAATTAATCGAATAGTTTCGCTTCTTTCGATATCAAATTTTCTTCTCTTCCTCTGAGAGTAATCAAAAGTACTACTTATGTTATGTGTAAGTGAAGAGTAATAGATTTCTTTAATCAGCGGTACACGATATAAATTGTTTATAATTTTTTTTTAGTAGCTCAAAGAAGACATTTTAATGTAGAAGAACATTTTGGTTAAACTTTGTAGCCATCATCAGCAGGATAAAACATATCAATCCTATAGTACTTTCCGCATTAATGTGTTTTATTAATGTGGATCTGCAAGTGAAATCACCAACTGCATCAAGATTCAGAATTATTTCAGAGTTGCATGGCTGAATATCGAATGAATGTGTGTTTTCAAGATCGCAGCAAGCGAATAAATCGCAAATGAAAATAAATTAATTTGTTGAGAAGTCTAGATTTAAAAATAATTAAAAAATGAATGGTAGGTCACACATTGAAATAATAAATACAAAAATAAATATGTATAATAAATAAATTGAGAGTCATTAGATAAAGTTAATAAATTAATAAATTTGATAAGTTTAATTTAATAAATTTTATGAAGTTAAGGGATTACATATACCTAGGTTAAAAAAATCGATTTTTCAATTTTTGCATTTTTTTATAATATGAAAGATTATTTTCCTAAAGTTACAAATACTCGAAATAGATACATAAAAATAGAAAAGTTATAATTAAAAGCATGTTAAAGAAATAAGCTTTACGCCGATCGAGCGCCGCTAGATGAACTCCGCAGAGCTCGGGACTCCATTCGTTTGTCTGTATATGTCAGTACATGTTTCTTTGCTCGAGATCTTTTGTCTTTTACCTACAAACATAATAATGAGAGAGATATATAATTTGATTTGGAAGATTGTTCCAAAAGTATAACATAGTGGCACAAAAATTGTACAAATTGCAGTATGTTTGTATAATGAAGGTACATTGTCATTATTACAAATCATGCAAGCTATGGAGATTGCTGTAGAATCAAATGTGCACTAGTATGCAATAAAAGCAGATGAGTACCGCATAAGCGGAAAATATAAACGACGAATATGAATGACGAAGAAAACATCGTAGGCAAGCCAATTCGATTTTGACAAGGATTAATGTCGACAGAAGATTTATTATACAGCCTTGGAATAGATGATTTTATGTAAGTCAAAAGAAATTATTTATATATTGCTTAAAAGTAAACTTGAAACTTTGAATGCGTTTTTCTCAAAACCGTAAAAAGTTAAGAGTAACGGTAAAATAATAATGGGAGGAGGGTGGGTTGATAAATTAATAAGTTAATAAATTAAGAAAGTAGTGAAATGTGAAACGATAAAAATATTATATTATATAGTTGTATAAAAATATGTATATTATAGTTTTTTATGTATTGAGTCCGGAAAATGGAAGTAAAAAAGAATTTTCGCCTCCCGACTTCTTTCTATTAGGCGATCTCGTGTACGATTTTTAAAATGCTCGAGCTACATGTACACAGACTGAAAATTGCAGTTGCGAATTGTAGATTGATCGCAAAAAACTGTTTGGTTTTACATAGCGTCTTTTTGTATCATTAGAGAACACGGTTAAACATGCCTCGAGACCGCAAGTTAACTCACTATACACCATCATTATATTTAAATAATTTTTCTCTCGTTTTCCTTTCGTATAATATAGTTCGCTTGGGAAATGCATTACAGATGCGACCGTAATATATTTTGCGATCCCGAGTTGCAATGCCACTGCTTCGTTGTATTTGATAATTCGATTTTCTCCGTCGGAAATGGAATCCTTGCTCCTCATCGGATATGTCAACAGAAAGGTCCGAAAAGGTGTCAAATGACGACCTTAAAGAAATAGCTACCTGTATATCCGCCGTAGTAATTTAAAAATCTTTGATTTTTTGCCCTTTATAATATGATTATATCATAGCCTGTTGATTGTTATTTAATATTGATACTTATTAATCTTATTCTTTTCTAATTAAATATATATATGGATATATAAAAATTATACGCGTGATAAAATATAAAAAAGATATTATTCCTTCTTATAACTTTCAAAAAAATCATTTGTTTTCATAGTGACGACGAAAGTATACATATCTCGTATTTCAATGAAATACATTTGATTTGTTTATTTGGAGTGGTAAATATATATATATAATAATAAAACAAATAATTTTGCGGTTGTTATAAAAGAAAATACCGTTTTTTTTTATTATATGTATAAAATACTGAATGCGAGTGCAAAAGTTCGTATAATATGTTATAATATGATATAAAATGTTATTTAGTATTATGAACGAATATAATGCAATTTCAAAAATGGACGCATCGTCATGGAATGCACTAGCATTCAATATCCAGCGATCGCGACATGATTCGATCGCGTTTGAGTAAACTCCTCGATCTACAAGCGGGGCTTGATGCACAATGTCGAACTACAATGAATTGGAAACATTTGTGTCAGGAAATGTAAACTGCGTGGTTTTCCTGACGTAAATGTTTATTACAAAGCTGTATTTAAAGCATGCGAACTATTCTATTTGAAGGATTCGACTCGAGATGCGGTCGCTCTGTTAAATGAAATACGATGGGCATTTATTGAGGCGTCACTTCACAGTACTTTAGTAATCAGTCTTATTCCAGGCATTACCTCAGGTTTTGTGCATTTTGCGCGTGCACGTGTGTACATACATGTAAGTAGAGTAAGAAAAATTTCGATATTTTATATATTATATATATATATATATATGTATATATGTTGTATAAGATATCTCTAAAAGACATCTTCAGACGTCTTATGTCTAAAAGATGTCTTTTAAATATCTTATGCGACATGCATATTATCTGGGAAGGCTTAATTTTTATTTTACTTACGAAATTTTACTTTTAAATTTTTCTTGTAATATATAAAGGTCATATAGAAAAGGTATAAAATAAAGAGCATTAGAGTTAATTAAACGCTTGGAATTTCGGTGGCTGGAGAAATTATTGAAATTTTCTTCAAATAATTTCTAATTAAAAGCTCTTTCTTCCGATGTGAATTCTTCCATGAGTGTAGGATTGAAAATTGTTTGGATTGTTACATTTCTGAATTCAAGATCTAAAGGAAACCGAAACTAAGTGTCAATATAGCGATTTTAAGATAAACGACATTACGTGCAATCTACATGTTTTTAGTTCTCTCAATTTCGATTTTATTTATTCCACTGTCTACGGAATAAATTTCTTTTCCTCGAAGTGTACTTTCGATGTTAATGTTGCAGATACGCATTTCTGTCTCGGAAAATTTATGCGCATAAATCATATGTGATGCGTTTTAGTGGCTGCATCTCGCTGCATTATGACGAATGGCATATGTCGATTATTGATCGGAAAACGATTGTTGGTTCGCCTGCGTGCGAAACGCGACACGTTTACAACCTAAAGTGGTTCTACAGTAAATCGAGTTGGCATAGAAATTTTAATTTTTTAATATAATGAAATTGAAGTACCAAATTTGACGTGTGCAAAATTCTAGGGTAGGTTCGACGAAATAAGAGAGAAAAAAATGTTGAAAATGTAACTTTTAATGTATAATCTAATGATAAAGGCCTTTTTTGATTAATTGCATACAATTATCATAGATTTCTTTAAAAAAGAGAGATTATGATAGTTAAAGAAATTACGATTGTAGTGGTACAAAAAAGTAATACATCATCGATCATTTTGGAAAGATATTTAATGTTGAAATGGTGAGATATCGAATTTTTACAAGAACAAATTGTACAAGAAATCAACTTCTTTTTTTCATTAATTTTGCACACTAAATGTTGTCTATTTCATACTATTTTATTAAAATATACACATACCTATAAGTTTTAATATTTTATCCAAATTCTGCAAATATTTGTGATTTTGGGTAGGCACTTGATGAGACACCACAAATTTTCGGCACTTTACTGTAGAACTATCTTAAGGTAGAGCTGTCAGGCTCTTAGTTCCCGTATATGTCAAACTAAAGTTGATGTTTCATTAAAGAGATCGTTTGTTGTAGATAACGCTGCGTCGATAGACAGAACGAATAATTTCTGGGAACACAATTGCCGCTGATCTTTGTGGATAGCGCCCTTCTTCGAATATAAAGTACCTCTGGCACAAAGCTTCCTTTAGAAGTTATGAATGCGACCTGCATTAAATTATAGCAATTATAGCATTATACAATTAGACGTTTACGTCAAATTCATTCTCTTAAGGTTTCCCGATTCTCGAAAATTAAACAAAAGAAATTTTGCATTTTATATACTTCTTTCAATATTCTTTAATTAATTTCTTTTTCAATTTTTCAATAATTATATAGAATATTTTTTCACATGCCTCTCTCTCTATTTTTTTGATAGACTTAATATTCTTTATTTCCTGAGTTTATAATAAATATTTCAAATAATAAAATGATTATCTTGTGATGAATTCTATTGATAGATAAAATATGCTTGTCAATTTGTGGCAGTTTTATACGAACGTATTTTATTAAATAAAATATCGCAGGCTGATAGTTTTTCTTTGCTTTTTTTCAGTGACGACGAATCACGCTAGGATGAAAACAAGGAAACTCAATTTGTGTGGATACCTGGACAGTACCGGAATTAGCGAAATGCTCCATGAAAGCTCGGTCGTGTGTAAAACTTAGGGTTGCCATGTGTCCTACTTCTCGTTGAGCAGTCTAATAACTGCATGTATAACTGTTATGTAACTACATTTAAATGCCCTTTGAAAACAAAATTTTTAAATCCAAATTTACATAGAAATATGCAAAAAACGCCGATAAATATCAAATAAAAATAGATTCTTTTACATGTCTTCTTTCTCTTAATTACGTATACATATTTCCATGCATTGTCTTCAAAAATGATGGCAACCCTAGTAAGACATGAAGCCGCGTGGCAATAATATATGTTTAGGAGTAACGATACATGATTTCGATAAAAATGGTTCTCGATAATCTCACTGTGATGTCGGCCATTGACGAGTTGGTGGACGACGTTCAATCGAACAGCACCAACGTGACGGATTTTCCTGATTACGATATCAATGATTCCTTCAATCACTTTGAATGGGCGGAATTGGCTCCTGTTTTGGTCGTCTACACCTTGACGTTCTTTCTCGGATTAATCGGTAAGTTTAATATTTTCGTGCTTTTGTATATATATATAAGTCAATAAATCAAATATAATAAATACGTATACAAACATTTTTAATATCAACACATTTTACATAGAATCGATCAACATATCGTAATCGAAGTTTATAGTATTTAGTAAAATTATTAAAAGTCAACGAGAATATTTTAAATAAATTGAACAATATGCGTGTGAAATAGAGATATACATAGATATATATTTTTCTGTTTTAAAGAAGTAATGTTTTTATTTGTAAAGAAATAATGATTTTAAAACATCTTAAAATAGATATATTATATTCTAAATTTTTCTCTTAATTCTTATTATTCTTTTACGTTAGATTTTTACATAATCATTTAAGTGTATCATCTTTAATTTGACATCAGAAAATTATATTTAATTTATTGACTTGTCTATAAAATCTATTTTACGTAACTATTTTCCTAAATTAATCGACATAACTAATCATACGAAGTAATTGTAAGTTCAACCGTGTTTTAACAGCTTGATGAATATTAATGTTACATGAATATTAATATGATATAGCTTCTTGTTGCGTTTATTCGATATATAATGTAATTTAGAGTGGTATACACACAGAATTGTACTGTATTATGAATTCTATAACTTTAACACAGCGAAAGCCGTTTATTTTTTAAAGCGTAGATTAATTTCTACTGTACAGTAGAGATTCGAGCAAGCTGCGGCTTCGTTTAAATCTCTATTTCAACAAACTATTTTGACAAACTTTTTAACAATTTTATTTAATTTAACTTATCTCTAAAGTTTTACCGGTGTAATTAGTTTCAGAATTTCAATAAATCAAATAATTTCCAAACTATTGATACTAATGATAAAAAAACTAATGGTAAAAAAATCTAAATGAAATTTTACGATAATTAATTTAACATAATTAATTTAAGTATTAAAATTTTGCAAAAAGTTTTTACTCAAAAAAGTGATCAGTTATAACGAAAATGATCTAAGTACGAAAAATTAGATAAAATAGATAAATTTCTAACAAATATTACGATATGTATTATTGCATCTAATTATATAGATGATAGAGATAGAATTTAGATTTGTGCTATAAATTCTATGCATATGATACATAATTTTCTATCAGATATAAAAAACAGCAATAATTCTAATAGCTGAAGCAGTAAAATATTTTTTTGCGTGTTAATGAAGTACTAAAAAATTTGTGCGAAACATTATAAATACATTTTCAATGTGTGTATATTACACGTGTATATTACAATTATTAATTTATTCTTTTGAAGTCAAACTGCTAAAATTAAAATATTAATTAGTGAATTTAATAATAATTTTGAAACATATTGAAACTTTAATTGTTATGAATCAATTATCGCTATTAAATTAACTTATTATTGCGTCCTTATTAAATTGTTTTTACTCTAGGAAGCGAGAGATGTCGATATATATTTTCGATTAATAAATAATCGTGAAAGAAACATTTGCAGAATCGTTAATTACGCGATATGTCTAAAAAAAAAACAATTGTTGAAATATAAGACATAGCGCTTATATTAACAACAGAGAAACAGAAGATTTTACTCTCTCGCTCGTGATTTACTATATGAACAACAACGTAATGCTATGCTTTACATTAAATCGCACTCGTGTTGCGGTGAGAATTACAGAGTAGTTGCCTTATTTTTCATTATGGAGTATATTACGAAAGAAAAAAAAAATCATCGCATGTTGCTGATGAGACATTCCAGTTCCGCAAAATCGCTAATTGGATGGTAAATAGAAGCGAAGTAATACTCGTAATTCGTCTTAAACAGGCGAATCAGACACGGTGTAGTGAATAGAGTATTTGCGAACGACAAATCCTGTTTCTCACATGGAAACCACAGCAAACGTCTCTTTGCAAAGTGCAGTAGAGCCTAATATGCTCTTAATTATACAGCGTTATGTTATCATAGTCAAGTTACCAGTATAATACAAGTCATTTCGAGTACAAAGTTGTAGGGATCTCGAATCACCAATTCATCAATTCGCACGACCAAACACAGTTTCCTGTATTTCTCGGTTTCCCAAAGTGCGGCAATTGTTTCGTTTGATGTATGGCTATTAATAATTGTTAACAACAATCGGGATTTGAAGTGTGAGATTTGAAGCCGGAATTCATGAAACGCGGTCAATTGGCAGACATGCTTCGATTTTCAGTAATTATGTTATTATAATTTAGAAACAAGAAGAGAGAGACAGATTTTGACAATGACGAAATTTGTTTCAACGTAATCAGTTAATCATAACATTAACATTTCTCTCCACTAAATAGATCGTTAAATAAATAATCGTTAAATAAATAAACACTCGGTGCAAATATATAAATATTTTTTTGACGACGCGATATAAAATAAAGCTTGTTATACAATTATATATATACGGTAATTATATAAAATCGATCCCGGAAAATAATTTATTTAAACTCGATTATTTCCCGTAGTAATTAACTTTCACAACATCACCATCGTAAACGACTTTGCAATTATCCGCAAGAGATAATTACAAAATAATGCTCATCTGCGATATTAAATCTATCGACAAATGTAAATTATTGAATCGCAATATTACTTGATTCTACATTAGCCAGGAAAAATTATTAAGAACTTCAGTTCTTTAATTTCATTTTAAAATATTCCGAAGATTTTCTCCTTCGGAAGTTCTTCTTGGAATCTCTAACAATATCATTGGTTCTTTACGGTCAAGGAATTGTAATTTTTTTCAGGTAACGTCATCATCATTGCTTCGACTCTTTGTCGACTCAGGCCATTGCCGGCGACACCGACGAACGTTTTCTTGGGTGGTCTGGCTACAGCTGATCTTCTGTTAATTATATTCTGCATACCCGTGAAAGTAAGTAATATAGATACACATATACACTTCTCGATCCTAATTGTACACGTCATTGGGATCCCAGAAGCCCCAATGCAATTTGCTAAATGGAGATTTTTTCGTATTCTTAAACTTTTCTTTTTCTTTAAACCTATATATCTCGGAGCTCCTTAATTCTATCGACTTTTACACGTGGACTTATTCCTTAATCAATTCTCTATCGATTGAAAGAAAATTAATTGAAATATGTCTATTTTTACGAAAGTTACGGTAACAAATATGATGGAGTAACAAATATAGTTAGGGTTAAATCGAATTTAGATCAAGCGAGCGAACAGGAACCAACACGAGCGAACAATTTGCTTCTATAAATACAAATCGTCATCAGAGGTGGTCATTAAATCTTGTTTTCATTCGTGTTTGTTCGCGCTTTCTTGCTCGATCAGACTCATCATGGTGATGAGCACATACAATTTTTGTATGCATATAATTGTTCGTAATGACTTATTTGCATCTCATATTCTTGTCTACATTAATTTATCGCGTTTAAGTCTCGATTTATGTTAGCGACTAGTCGTTCACTGTCATTTATCTTTACTTTCCACTATTATTTATCTTTAGTTTTCTATTCACTGCCTGTGTACGTGCTTTTCGTTTACTGTTGTTTTATATCTGCACGGGATGTAGAAAGAAATATAACCGCAATTGTATTTTACAGTATTTTAATGAAAAGTATTAAGTTGAAAAATTAATTAAATTCTATAATGACAAAATGTCGAGGTACATAATAGATTTCGAGTTAAGACAGTAATTGCACTGTTGATCACATTATTGATTTTCGTAATGCAGATAATAATAATTTTATAATCGCTGATTTTTGTCTTTTGATTTTTTATATTTATATTTATATTTCTTATATTTTTAAATATCGTACAAATATGTATTGATTACTAATAATAAGATTAAATTTTAATATATAATCTCTATTGAAAATTTAAACAGTTATGCTTAATTACACATAATTTTCGCAGAGCAATTTAATCCTTTAATTTAGTTTGTTAAAACTTAAAATCACAATTCTTAGTCTATCGATTCCTCTCGAAACATAAGCAAGAGAAAAAGAATTAGTAGCAAAAAAATTAATTTACATAAAATACTTATTTAATTAAAACAAAAAGTAAATTGTACTCTTCAAACAAATAAGATTTAATATTTCAATATGACATAATTAATCAACTATCCATAAATTTTCAGTAAAGAAAAGACTGGATAATATTACGTATAATCAATATTTGCTAAATAATGTATCAAATTATATATTATATGTGACAAACAAAACGCAAATCAACAATAATCTCTTTGTCTAGTCTAAAACGTGAGAATCGGGATGTTTGGCGTACGCGAAATATTCCATGATACCCTGAATATTTTTCACAGAATTCGATACATTGAATATTTTATGGAAATATTCAAATTAAAGCAATTACGTATGTCCCTTAACGGCGTACAGCGATGCGTAAACAAGGCTGGAATGCCATAACCATAACATGTGTCCGCCCCGCGCTAATCATACAAGGTCGACGCGCTATCATTCAGTCATAGACACTCGATCGAATAAGTAGTGGCGTGAGCTGTTCTGCGTATCTATCATTGCTCGTCGAAACTAATCGGCAAATATTAAAGAGCCTATTCTGTAACTCTTAAGGAGATGCTGGAGTGATTACCTAATTATTACAGTCGTATAAAAATCTTCAGATTGACTGAACAGAATAAAAAATCCTTTTACAGGATTAAAGTAGACGCAAAATTAAGAAGTGGATTTTATATTAAAATCGAAAAAAAAATTAAAAACTTACTTAATTTTTTTCGATTTTAATATAAAGTCCACTGCATCACTTCCTAATTTTGAATCTACTTTAATCCTGTAAAAGGATTTTTTATTTCGTTCAGTCAATTTGGACATTTTTATATAATACAATTGTAATATCGATTATTAAGTCTCCAGCATCCCCTTAATAACTAGCAATTATAATGTTACGCAATGTCGTCACGCAGGTTTCGTACATGCTAAAAAAGATGTGCAACGACACAGTTATAGTCGTCAAGAGTTACAGAATAGACTCTTAATTAAGTCTCGATTTCACAATTTGCGATCAACTTTTTAACCGAGGTACAACTTACTCTTCATCTCTTTCTTCAACTTTAGAATGATAAGACGCCTTCTGGAATTATTATTAGTCGTTCTCGCACGATTTCTCGACTCTCACGATTCCCAATTCGTAAACTCGTCGAGGTTGATTATTAATGTGTTAATATTTTGCGCGATTTATTCGATAGAAATCGAGATGATAAAAAGTGGAAAGTTATTTCAAATTATTACTTTGTAATACTCATTCGCGAGCGAATCTAGTTTTTTTATGACGATAATTAGATACATTAGTTTGGATCTTTCGCGGATTTTATATTCACAATCAAAGGCTCTTTCTTTACAACGATATTTGGATATTATTGTGATTTTCCAAATAATATTAAAAAATTTGTTTTATCAAATTATAATAATAAAATTCGCAAAATTGTTTGATGTATACGAATTAAGAGCGCGGAATAATACGTGAATCGCTTTCCACGTAATTCGAGCAACAGAGGGCTCGCGATATGTTGACCATTTATGAATAATTAATCGAGAATGCATAGAAAATAACGTTTCATATCAACAATTTCACAAGTAATATTTCATAGAAAATATCTCGTAACAATTGACTTTTGCGTGGCGCGCTTTTATTGAAAGTAGCTTGATATTTTATATAAAAGAGCTGCATATTTTATTCATATTTTGATGATTTGCTAAACAGTCGTGATTATCGAGTGGCTCGTAGATTTTCACGATACATTTCTCGCGTTCTCGATAAGAACGAGTGTTTTACGTATTTTATATGAATTACGTGGGTCAAAATTCATTGATGTGATATTCATATAAATATAACGTTGTAACTTCGTTGCAATAAATTTTCTTTAAAATTTGAATATGAATTCTACGTAGATACTGTTACATATTTTTGACTACGTAGACATTTCCGTATAGATTTTAATATATATATAATCCACATACTGATAAAATTTAACGGGGATAAAACTAGAAGATAATAATATGAAATTCATGTGAATAAACTCACATTGATTTTCACTCAATGCAATTTAAGTTGAAATTTTAATATTTTGTTGACATGTCAACTCATGTCACATTATATTTATGTAGACATTATTTCAATGAATTTTTGTTCACTTTGTAAAGTACGTGGGTTTAATGTAGACTCGAATCTGTTCTCATCGGGTTAATCTTGTATTGGAAAGTAATTAAATGTGAGTCGCATGCAGTTATAACGTCAGGCATGAGAAATATCTCGCCTACAGTTGTATTTTAATAATTACCGTAATCAGTATGTGATCGTAAGTTTTCGTGAGTGAGTGTTATGTGAGAAGAGAAAAGAGCAGAAAAAAATAAGTGCGGTGACTAAATCTGAGAGGAGGAGGCATCGGGCGTCGGCGGAGCAACCACAGAGTAAGTAATATTTATGAATAGTAATAACGAATAGTAATAACGAATTCAACGCATTCATAAAGAAACTTGTCACAAGTGTCCAGAAAATCTGAGATTGGACCGATATAAAAAAATACACACTCTAAATTTTTGTGTTTGATAATATATTGTACTTCAAGAAGAATCGATTCTGTTCCAGACAGTTGTGATAGATCCCTTGTCAATGCGCATTAAAATTGTCGTTGACACAAATTGACAAATACAAATTGACATAAAGATGTGCGTTTAATATAAATATATATTACAAATCGATTAACCCGTGAAATTGCCAACATATCTCATTGTGTTGTTAAATAAAATACGTACTTTATATTATAATTCGAAATATATTTTACTTTTACACTCAGATTAAAATTAACAGTGCAACGGTTTTAATACGCACTCCAATGCGTTCAACCGAATTTGCGAAGTTTTAACTTTAAATAAAAATTTGTCTTTTTTGCTTGTGTGTTGAACCTCCCAATTATTTGTTATTTGCAAATAATTTATTTGAGTCATTTATTTTGATATTTTATATATGAGCTAGGAGAAAAAAATTATTTGTAGAATTTTGTAGAAGTTTATACTTTTTTGAATTGTAAAAAGAAAAAAGATTATGCTAAGGAATTAATTGGTTTATAAATTTATTATATATTTATTAAAAGTAAAAGATTTGTGCGCTACACAATGCTTCTTCGAAATCTTATTTTGGATATTACTGTAATCCGATGTACTTAATATTTTATAGATTAACGTAATGTTATAACTCTGCTGCTGTGCATCTTGGTGAGTGCTTCTACAGGATAAGATTTACTGGAAACGTAAAACATCATGAAGATGTACATATTTCAATAAATTTTTTATATGAAATTTTATAAATTTAATATATATTTATATGCACGTCACATAAATAAAAGAAGAATAGAAAATATTTTAGTCGCACGTAATTTATAATCACATGTTACAATCAATTTATTAAATAAGAAACTTTTTCAATAAAACAAATTAATGATTGTTAATTTTATTTATTCTTACTGTGTTTAATCTTTCATATCTACTTACATATTTATTTACAATTTAATTTTGTATTATTTGAAATAAAGCAAAGAAAAACATCAGATTTAAATATTTCATTACAGAATAAAAGAAATGTTTATAACTCGAAAGCTTTTGAGACCTCGACATTTTTATATCGGAATTTTGAACTTTAAATAATCTATAGAATATGCAATTATTATTTATGATGTTACGTCTTATAATTACGTTTATAATTTCAAAATTAGTAATACAATTTCTTAAACATTAACAAATATTTTACATTGATACAGCAGAAAAACAATAAAAATTGATCATTTCTTAATTATATATAATCTTTTCTCAAAATTGCGCAATAAAAACTATACAAATAATATTTATACTAGAAAAAGACTTTGTAACGAATTAT